TGGAAAATCAATTCGTAAGCTGATGCATAAGAGTAAATAATTCTGTTAAATATTCCACGGTCCATCTCTCCTCGCTAAGGGTAGTACATAAAGCTAATTGTCTTCCCTGAAATCATCACCACGATTTCCTCCCTACCACAAGTGTGTTTACTGCTTTCTTAACTTTTGGTATACTTAAGTCTCATTGATTAGTTACATGGATTATACAACTATTGCAAAATCTTGAGGGTCTTCTATGATTATATATTCAGTTTATCTTTATTAATCTGGGCTTCACTTAGCTGATAAATGACTGGAAGTCTTAGCCTGGTGTTTTGTTAAGTGCCATCGGTAAGCTAACACAAAGCCATTAAAGACATCTAATCAATCAAACTGCCTAATTATCTCATTTCTGGTAGACTAACCAAAAAAAACTTACAAAAAGGATTAGTTTCTGTCAATGATGGTTCTATTTTAACCACATTATAAATATTAGGATGATGTATGAAATTTTAAAAAAATGCATGCTTCAAAATAAAGGTCGGATCTTGATCTCCTTAAACGTAACAGGCAATACTTTTGTATTCAGCGTTACTCACCTGGATAGATTTAACACTACTGTATGATTTGACTCTCTACCAGGTTGGTAATTTTCTTTTTCAGGACAGTTCCTAAACTATAAAATATAGCAGCACCAGCAGTAGATGAATGACAGCATAGAAGAAGAGCAACTGTACAGGAAATGGGAGAGGAGAAGACAATACCAGCAGGCAAACATGTAAAGATCTACACAGCTGGTAGCTTGCACTAAGAATCAGTTTCAGTCAACAAGGCAGGGAAATGCCCAAAGCAATAATCAATGCAACTCAAGTAACTAATATAAGTATGCTTGGTAAGTGGATGAGCTCTTTCAGGTTTTCTATGGCTTCGTATTTTTTATGGACACAGGGAAGAACAAATCTCACTGTCAAATTATAACTCTAGTCTAACCTCACAAACAGCATTCCCTTTCCAGAGAAGATAGTAAGCTTCAGAGCACTGTACTGCTCATTCTTCTGATTAGCTCCAATAAATCTCACAAGATTTGGACAACAGATACAGAAATGCAAGAAAATAACATACAAGGCATTCTAATTTAGCCACTGTCAGGAAACCTCTCTTTAGGACTGGAGAGAAAGAATCTTCAAATTCACACAGAAATGCTACACTCAGACTCAGCGGTTTATTGGGAACAGCCAAGCAACCCTTCTCTGGCAGAGAAAAATGCCAACATTGATGGGTAGTCAGTATGCAGAACCAACTACACAGCACAGAGCATGGACAGAGTGTTTTATGGGGTCACATGCGCATGACAGGGAGAAGAATGGGATTCTGAATGGGTGATAATGTAAGAACAACGTAGAAGCACAGAAACATTGAAAAATCATTACAGATATCAGGAAAAATGTCATGACACAGCAAGATAAAACAACCAGGGACGAAAACAATTCAGGAAGACAATGATAAGCTGGCCCAGTATGTAAGTATTCAATCTAGCTCTGTATTTGAGAGCGATTTGCCAATCATTGCATATCAGGTATGGGTCTCCTCTTCCCATAGCCGGAACCTGAATGCAAAAACCCTGCAGAATGGAGGGTGGGAGGAAGAGAAACAGGAAGTTTTCCATATTCTAAAGTATAAAACATACAACTTTTATTAGGGCAACTCCAACACCTCAAATTTTCCTCATGATTATGGGGCTGCAGCTGAGAGAGTACTCCAATTGGAACGATGGAGCAAATACTTAGGCTATAATCAGACGGTTATATTCTTGCTGTAAAAAGGGCTTGAATTAAGCTATCATGCAGTGTTTGAAACCAAACCAATAACTACTTGTTCTAAAAGAGCCACGCTGATGATTTATTAACAACACTTGTATACCTCTTCACATTTCAAACAAATCCCAAAGAGTTTACTAAATAATAAAAACAAAGTAGCCTCAGGCACACATTTTGATACTCCTCTCTGAGGTCCTTCGCACGCCGAACAGGCAGCATCGGGATGGCAGCTACTCTGTTTGAACCCTTCTTATCAAACTACATGCTCGTATACTGAGTGCCACGTGCAGCGGCATAGAAATGTCTAAGTGGCCATCTGGCCATGTGGTCGCTACAGCGTAGATGAAATGGTACATAAGCATTTAACATATTGCAGGCCTAAGGCTACGCCAGAGTAAGAACTTTGCAGACATTACTGTGGTGAACTGCGGAAGCAGTGTGGTGAATCATGGAAGAACGCAATAGAGTCATCCATGTAAAAAAACAAAACAAAACTCTCCATCTTACCAGGTTTCTCCCATGGAAATAGCTGCTACAGTCTTCTGTGGGTATATTAGATTAGATTGCACATGTGGGTAAATATGAGTAGTTTCTGTACAGATGTGGCAGCTGTAGTAACCCCTTCAGTGCCTTTAATCTGCACATAGATATATACATTCTCAGGGTTCAACCAGATGTTCACATTAAATCTAGGGTAAGTCTATGCAGAGAAAGTCATTTCTCATACATCCTATTAAGTTCTACAGAGCAAATGTGTCCAACAGCAAAATTCTACCCTTCAAGACAAGACAAACAATTTCTTCCTCAGTTTAGTCCCCATATGATTACAACACTGTTCTTCTTATGTAACTGTATTGCTACCAGTCCTATCAGGGCACTGCTGAAACTCTGAAATTGGACAGTCCAGGCTCCACTGAAAAAGACCTCACGGAGGTGAGCTGTACATATGGAGAGTTCAGAGAGACACACTGAATATATATACAGTCTCGCCCACTTTTGTTCCCATTATCTATTGAAGAGACCACTGTTTTGCTCATTAGTAATTATTAACACTTTGTAAAGTGTGCAGGATTTGTTGCTGATGAGAAATGGAAAGAGACAGCCTCCATGACTTCAGACTATTTCACTCTCAATTCCTAACTCTACCACTCTGTCGGACCAAAGTGGTCACAATAGCAGTTATCACAAATATAAGGATGAAAAGTGTTACTTTCTAGCCAAGCTGCTTGCTTAATTATGAAATCAAAACTGTAGGATGTTTATATGAAGGACCTACAAATGCATATTTGAGAAGTTTCAGCATAATCCCCCTCCAATATCAACCTCCAATTAGGAGACTGGAGAAATGTTTTATGAATTTTGTGTATTATGTATGGTTTCACATTTGCAACAACTATCCCCACACTTGACAGAATCGTTAATAAGAATTATTTAAAAGAACTTTCAAAGCCAAAATTGAAGTAAGAATTTCCAACTGCTATTAATACACTAGCTAGTGAATAATTCTGAAACATAAATGAAAGAAGAAGAAGATTTGAACAATTCTTTAGAAAGAGATAGAGACCAATGATTATAAATTCCTTGACTAATTGACCCATGGCCCTAAAAGGCATGCACTTTCAGAACTTCTGTTCCTAGAAATTTCAATACAGTTAATAATAAAACTTAATAACTCTTAATTTCACTAAAGTGAAATTCTCCTTTGGAAAAAGTTCTTGGAAAAGAACTTAAGGGTTTCGATCTCAAAGGAAGTGGGCCCTTGAATTTTGTTCCTAAGTCATGATTAAAACTGCAGTGGAGAACTGTCAACTTCCCTGATTCACATGGCCATAAGAGATCTCTTTCCTAGCACTGCAAAGATATCTATCCCAGCATAGCAGTTATCTCACGGGAATCTTGAGGAATGGGCTAAACTCTTGGCAATAAATCAAAGATCACATGACCTGCCAGACTCTCACCTGCTGAAGCACTTAGCCCCGCTTTAGTTTTAAGAGCAAAATCAAGGGTTAGGATAGGCCATCCCCTGCTCAGAGCTCACAAGTGTGGGCAACCTCTTATGCCCTAGGACTCCCGCAGGTTCCTTTTCCCGTTCTATTGATTGGGGCAGGGTTCAGAGGTTGAGATATAGTTCATTTTTTCTGAGTCTTGGATTGGCTGAGAAAAATAACTTGAAATCTCCCGTTTTAACGTTAAAGAAAAAGTACTGGATCATTTCCAAGTGGATCCAAGGCAAGTATGGATTACCTCAGCCATCGCTCTGTTTTAATTCCCTGTCTAGCCAAAGCAATATGACTCCCATAACAAAAGCTATCACCCGATTATAAAAAAACCCTTTAGGCAATGAATTGTATGATTCTTATCAATGGCCTACTGAACCCATTAACTTTCTCTGTCTTCATGATATATATGAATAAAACAACAGTTTTAAGTTTTAAATAGCATTCCATAGTTTTAGATGATATAAGAAAAAGCTGTATATACCATCCTAAGCGTTCTCACCTCTGTGCGAAAGGGGAATCTGAGTCTTACTTTTATTAAAATTAAATCACATACAGTTTTAAATGGATGGCATCTTCTTAGATGGTAAATGATATAACTTAGTTTTAAACACCTGCTGCCCCCAATGAACTTGGAAGGAATATTGTCTTAATTGATCAAATTAGTTTTTAAAAACTGATATAGCCATTTTGTGAACTGAATGTGGCAGCCTTAGTTATCATCAGAAGTATTTAGGCTGCAAGTTATCTTGCCTCAAACACAATCACCATTCCTACTCATTCATAATGGGACTTATGTAGGAGTCCTTCAAACATTTTTTAAAAATAAACGCTAATAAAAGCTCAAAACTTTTATGTGTGCCTAAGCAGCAGTGTCTTTGGGCAATACTCATCTGGGAGGAAGGCAGATCAAATCCATTAAGTAGAAACACTCCTGCCTATAATTTTCAATCAGTCACCATAGTGTTCAAGGAGTCTGAGTGACAGCATAAGCACCACATAAGTGCTGCATTGTATTCTTCCATTTTATTCAAGATGGGAATGAGAGCATAAAGTATCACCTTGATATACTGATTTAGCAATGCAGGAGATCTGCTGTGTTCAGAGCTGTGGCTGTATGTGAGCCATTTTCCCTTTAAGTGGAAATGATTCCTATAGATTTATGCAAGAAGATACAAAGCCACCTTGGAATAATTGCAATTCTTACTTGGAGGCAGATCCTTCATTTTGGGAATATGGAAACATTCACGGAGGTGTTTTAGTTCATCCTCTTCGTCTAAGTGCAAAGCAAGTTTCTTATCTCCTGGACTGCACGCAAGCTGTGAGGCAATGGTTTCTATAATGGTTACTGGTGAGCCTTGAGATGACAGATCCATTTTCAAGTTATTTCTCAGTCTAAAAATGAAAAGCAGAAAAACATCTCCATTTAGATTCTGTGCCATGCATATTAGCTAGCCTCTGATGTGAAGATTATAACTATGTCTGTTAAGTTAGACTTCAAGCTTTTAAAAGTGAAATGTTTAGGAGTGTAAGAGAGAAATGAGAAGTTCTAAATTCCAGCATTTTTCAAGGCAGCCTGCTGCTGCTGCTGCTGCTGCTGCTGCTGCTGCCCTAAAGCCATTAACTTTAAATACTATGCTTTCCATATAAAGCAACTTCAACAACTCCTGTGTTCTACCACTGCTCCAACAGCACTAACAAATTCTATAGTGTCATTCACACTTGCAGAATCAGCAGGCTTGAGGCAGCACTATTGTTTCTACAGTTTGTGCCCCTGAAAATAGCAAGTGCATCACCACTTTTAAACTTGTGTTTTCAAGCCTGAGCAATCTTTATGCTCCTTAGCTTCTTGATTCACAGAAGCTGTCTATGGGATGTGTACGTTTTTAGATTTGGAGACATGCCTGGAGATGGGCAGTCCAGGGATTTTAAAAACAGTGCAAATCAAACATCAGTACGATTACAGGCAATAGAGTGTTCTGCAGTGAGGAACTCTTTCCACACTAAACATGAGAATCCCTAGTCCCAGGAGAAGATCACGGAGTACTTTCCCCATTCCGCCAGCAATGGGGATGTGAAGAATTCCTGAAGAACTCGATTCAGAATCAGGTCTGCTTCAGCAGCATCAGATTGCTCACATGACTGGAAAACACAGCTTGACAAATTAGTGTGCTTCTTGCTGTTTGACAAGGAAGCAGCAGTTCAATGTGAAGTGCAAATGAGACGCCTACTGGGAGTGAAATACAGAATCACATCCTCCAAATTGTACCTATGGTATATTTTTTATCTAGAGTCTTTCTTTTTTTAATCCCAATAAACATCTACCCAGGCTGATCACCCTGACCTTTCTTGCCTTTCCGCTCTGCATCTCCGCTTCATGCTGCTTTCTTTGACTCGCCCAAAATTTCAGGTAAGCAAAGGGATGCTAAGTGCAAGGCTGAAAATCTGAACATTCAAATAAGTCACCACCTTCTTTCACCCTTTCATGCTGTATGTCAATAAGAAAGATGAAGTAAAGCTGAAACTGTTTTTCATATATAAGTTATGAAATGTTAGACTCCATAGCAATTGTAGGAAGGCTGTAAAAAACAGGAAAGGCACTTTGCCACAGTATTCAGGAGAACTAGATACTGGCACTTTAAGAACCTTGGCTTGCTAGAAAGATGTGCTGAATTGCTTGCATTTCCAGTGAATGCGGAAAGCCCTCAGTGAATTGTTAGGTTATTAGGTTATTAAAGGTTATTAAAGGTTATTAAAAATTGTTCACATACCTATGTCAGAAATATGGCAATATGATACTATCAAATACACCAAAACTCCAAACTACTATTTTTCTCCTCCTGCAGCTCTCAATCTTATTTCCACAACAACAACAACCCTGTGAGGTAGGTTGGGCTGAGAGTCTGTGACTGGTCCAATGTCACTCAGTTGGCTCCATGGCTGAGTGGGGACTAGAATACCCATCACCTCAGTCCCACTCTTAACCACTACACCACACAATGAAAAATTAAACTCCCTTTTCCCAAACTACTAGTGAACCAAACCATTTGCAAATAACATCCAAGAGGAGTTTTTCCTAAACAGTGTTTTTTCCAGTGTTATTATTTTTGTAGAAAACTGGTATGTCTTGCATCCCTCTGAAACTGAATTCCCAATGCTCGTAACACCATGTTTTACATGGCTCAGGGAAGGAATTTGTCAACAGACAAAACAGAATTATTTCAAGAAAAAATAAGCGTTTTATTCCATTACTTGCTTTTATGTTTAACTTACTTTGGCTTCTCCTTTCAGCTCCTTAGTTGCTATTCCATTTCCTTTCTGATTCTAGGAATCAAAGGCAGATTTTTCTTACCTTCAGCTAACAAGTGATGTTTGTGGAAAGTGTGCCCTTTTTCCCTTTCTGTCAAAGTCCAGCTCATGCCTTGCCCCACTTTTCCCTGCCTTTATAAACTGTTCTGTTTGCTTTTTGAAAAAACACTGTTGTACTCTGATCCCTCCACCACCCCCATTTTCAGCTTCAGGAGCAGGTGCTCTTCAGACTTCGCACACAGAACCACAAACCTGCTACATGAATTACAGTTTAATTTGATTTCTCATAATCCTCTTTTCAGTGCTGTCCTTGATTTAAGAGTTTTGTTTTTGCTCACCCCTTGCCCTCATTCTGCTTTTTAAATGTCATACCAGTTTTCTCGTTTATTGTGTTATTCCTTTCTGTATCTTCTTTACAAAGATTTCACAAAGAAGATCTTGCCACTTGCTTTGGCAATCTCCATGTGTGCTTGCAGTGTAGAACAGGCATATTGTAAGATCAAAGCTGCAGCAGCCAGACTACGGTATATAGGCTAGAAATGGACATTGCCCTATTGCCGCCAACTTATAGTTGGTTTGTTGTATGAAAAGTATCCAGGTATCTGGCAATCCAGTTACTGACCAATTGCAAGGACTTGGTCTGCCTGCTGGGAAAATGGAGAGTAGCTGCCAAAGCACAGGGCCACCAGTACAGATTGTCACTAAAGCCCTGCCAATTCCTGGACAGATCAGCCATGAAGAAATCCCAAATCTCCATGTGCCTGTTACAGACCTAGCTTGAGAACCCATACTTGTATACCCATACATGTATAACATGAATTATGGTCACTGGTACTGCATACATGTTTAACTGACGTAGAATAAACATTATCCTATGAAAAGAGAGTGGGGCCTAGTGGTTCAATACACAGGCCTGAGACTCAGGCAATCTGGATTCTAGCCCCCGCTCAGCCATGAAGCCAACTGCAGCCACCTTTGGGCCAGTTACGGACTCTCAGTGCAACCTGCCTCAGAGGGTTGTTGTTGTGGGGATGAGATTGCGATTAAGAGCAGGAGGAATATTATGTAAAGCACTATGAGTTCTTTGTAAGGAAAAAAGGGTGTAATGTGATTTTTAAAAATAAATAAAATAATAAATTATTTTTAACACCAACACTTAACTAAAATTAGCAGAGCAACTAGAAAGACCCATCTGGAAATACTTCTATGGTTTGTTTTCTCTCCAGGGAGGAGCAGAAGTAAATCTTCTGGTATCTTGTCCCTTCCTCCTTAGCAGCTTGATAATTCTTCTACCTCAAATGAATCAATAGGCACTGTGGAATCACTGAACAGTGAAATCCTCTAGTATCTACTCAGAAGTAATTCCCACTGAGTTCAGTGGACCTGTCTCTCAAATACAGGATTGTTGACTAAAACTGTATTGATTAAATGGGGCTTTCATGCTTGTACAGTATTTGTAACTATCAAGTACACTCCAGGCAGAAAAAGGCAAAATTATAAATTACCTTAATTAGCAAGGCCAATATTTAACCCAAAGAATTACTGAAAATAATGCTATTTTGATATTTTATTTCAGTTTCTGTGAAATCGGTTGTTTATAAACACAAACAAAACCAAAAAATAAACCACAAGGATACAAGGTGGATTCTTCAAGGAAATTAAAACTTAAACAGTGGTAGGCAGAGAGAAGATCTGGATCTAGTGGAAGATCTCTGGATGACAGGTGGTAAATCAGTAAGGATTTGTTTTTCCTTTGTATTCCAAATTCTTTAATTCTAAGTGTAGGCGCTTTTCACCCAGCCCTAGTTGCTGGATGTTTGAGTCCTAGTAAATAAATAACAAAGTAGATCCTGGAAGTCTGAAGTCTGCCCATGCCTGATTTAAGCTATTGCAGCAGAAATTGAAGCATAGAGGGAGAAGTGGAAAGGTATGGATAGAACTAACTTGTACTTACAGTTGATTGCGGATGTGAATGAGTGAAAGCTCCTGGGTTGAAACACAGGCCTCAGTCCAAGTTTTGAAGGAGCTGAATTCAAGGATCCTTCAACCTCTGTAATATGACAACCATTATTCAGGAGCCTTATTTCCCTGCAGCTGTTATGCTGTCACCCTAACTTAGGCAAAGGAGGTTTGCTCCTCCTCTGGACAAGGGCAAAGAGAGACAGTTAGGCTTGCGAGGGCTGGTGAAGCACCAGAAGCGGCCCAGGCTTGGTCTAAACAGGCATCCCAGTGAGGAGATTACAGATCTGAGATGGGAGAATGGGCTGTACCATTAAGGCTACAGTGAGTGATTACATTTTAGACAAGTCCCAGTACAGATAAAACTGGCCTGACAGGACCAGGACAGAACCTGACTTCCTGCTGTGTCGTTAGAGTTCTCTTTGCTGAGAGGATCCAGAAATGCACTCCCTCCTATGCTCTGAAGTGTTGCAATTTGTTCTGTCACCTTAGGGATTGGGGGGTGTTGGGGGGGGGGTTAGAGAGTGAAAGGATTTTTTGTGGGGGGGAGGGCTCTGTCACAAGGCTTTCCTAACATAATATGCAAATTCACAGACTTCAAACAGAATGGTCTGAGCCTGGCTCTTTTCCAGCTAAGGCACCAACCACCAAGGGCATAATGAAGTGCATTCTTACATTTTATCATTAAAGCACTTGCCTGCGTTAAACATTCCAAGCGCCATTAACATGAGGATGACATTCAGTTCTCCCTAACATTTCTACTGAGCCAAGAGGCTGTTGAATGTCTCAGCTGGTGTCCGCAGAGAGGTTTAGGATGGCTGAGAGTACAGTACTTTTAACCAGCTTAGGCCTGCACAGCAGGTGTGACCCTTTCTGGAGACAAAGGATCTTGCCTCAGTTATTCATGCTTTGGTGAAATCCATAGAGGACTACCATAATTTGTTTTCCACAAGGCTACCTTTGAAGGCAGTTAATGAGCTTCAGGTGGTGCAGAATGCTATAACTTGGAAACTGATGGACACTGGGAAGTCTGCCCATTTGAAACCAGTGCTGTGCCAGCTGCACTAGGTAACAGTGTGTTACCAAGCTCTTTAAAATCCTGTTTTAAATAGTTTAGAACCAAGTTACTTGAAGGGCTGCTTTTTCCCATATCAGCTTGCCATTGTTCAGAGATGAACTCCAGTGCTGCCACAGGGTTGTTGTTGAATTCTGTGTTTCTATGTTTTGAACAAGAAAAACTGAAGCTGGTCTGAATGAAGGTGGGGGCTCCTGGACACCCAAGGTGTGCCCATTCTGACTGGGCACAGTCTATTGTTCATTCTTCAGCGGTGGTGGTGGTGGTGGTGGTGATGGAGAACTTTGTCAAGAAAAATCATTTCCTCTCTCAATCTGCAACATACCCCAGGTCTGAGTAGTCTGTGTAATTAAGGCTGTATTGCTTATTTCCCTCTGCTTGCCTGCTGTAAGAAACCACATATTTGCTGAGTGAGGATGCCACATTCCATGTACTAAATATTAGCACTTTCTTTTTTCACCATTGCACCAAAGAGAATCTTTTTTGGTCCTATTTCTTGCAGCATTTAAACCCAATGCCAGCTTTTCAAGCTGCCCAGCTTGGTTCTTTTCTGCCTTACACATAGGTATCCCCTTTCTTCCTAAACAGGATCCTTCTTTCTAAATATGTAATACAGTACACTTCAGTTTTTCTGCAATCACAACTGCCTTTCACAGCCACACTGAGTTCTGGATTTTTCTTGCTTACTCAATGTATCTTTTCTTCCCTGTTTTTATTTCATCTTAACTTTGTGGAACAAGCCCCCTTGCTATATGTGACTGTTCTCCATCATATGACCGATGACTGAAGTCTTCTCTCTGACTTTATGTTTCTGTGTCAACTAGTACAGTTCATTCTTTTTCAGGCTTTTATGCTACTGCCAAGCCACATTCTCCTAGCACAATAGGCTAGGAGAATAGCAGAAATAGGTGCATCTTAAACGTTAGTCTTATTTCTGGTAAGAGTTTGATGTCACAGGAATATAAGAAACTATCTTATCAATCTATGTAGCCCTTTGTGGCTTAAGACTGGTTACCTGACATGGCCTATTCCCCATCATGTACCTGCCAGTTATTAAGATCAAGTGGGAATGCTCTCGTAATGTCACGTCCGGCAGGAGTTTCATATGCACTAACCAAGCACGGCATTCTGAATTCAGCCAACCAGCCTATGAAATGCCTTTCTCTCTCATAGCAATGCCAAATATTACAAGGTTTCAGTGCCCACTAAAAATCTAAGGGCAGAACCCGACAGTGTGCTTAGGCCTCACCAATTCCTTTCCACCTCACCAATTCCCTTTCACAAGCATCCGCTCTTGCCAACTTTTTTGAGGAGGCAGGTCTCACAATGGGGATTTAGTGCTTCCTAGGAGAAGCCCCAAAATGAGCAGAGATTTTCATTTCTGAAAGGAGGCAGGTTGGGGGAGCCGTCTTATGCAATCTCTGCCAACCTGCCTCCTTCCAGAAAGCAGGATTTCTGCTCATTTCAAAATCAATTTGATCAATGCAATGCAAGCACCATATTGCATAACTTAAAATGATTTAACGAGGTGTTTGCTGCATGATTGACTTTGCAATCAGTAGCCATGCCCTGTATATTACAGATAAGAATTACACGAGAATGTCTGTTTTAAAGAAAGTCTGATAAGTTCAATGCAACATAAAGCAAGAATAATTGCATTTTTGTGCACCCATAGAAGCAAGTCCCATTTAACTCAATGCAGTTTACCAATGCATAGCATAATACACAAGCCACTGATGGCCACTTCCTCAGTGGATTTGGTGGGGAGAACCAGGAAAGGAGCAAGTACCTTTCTGTCCAATGTTTGTCCAATGGATTCTGTCCAATGTTTTCTTTTGTTGAATTGTATAAACTGCTATTCATGTGTCACTATTCACTGTTTGATTTCTGCTCTTGTCTTGGTGAATGCTACATTTTATTACTTGCGCCCAGTAAGAAGTTTATTACATGAATATGGAACAAGATTGTCTACACTGACTATCAGTAGGTCTTTCCCCAGGATTCAACTGAATAGTGT